AGTTTTTACACTACAGCTATTTGTTATTGTGCGCACAAATATTGACTAGCTGAAATAGGAGTACATCGGCAATGGGCCAATTCCGCCCACTTTTTCAACGGGATTCAGCTGCAAACACTAGACCTTTCATAACTGTTTTCAACAACGTTGTTTTCATTCACCTCTTCATAAACGCGAAGGTACTTGTAGACGCGCATTAATGCATTGGCACGCTACGGGTCCGTCCCTCGACCACCCTTTCTTTAGCGGGTTTTTGCGAAATTTCGATATTTTTTTTCCAGAATCTCTGCGTCTCGTCGAACTGCTAATGTCGAAGCATCCTTGCCATGGTCGAGACTCGCCCACTCTTTAGAACAACGGTGAAATCCGGCAAGACAGGGTCTCAGCTTGCATGCTAGGGTCTCGCTAGTCACTCGGAACAAAAATCAGGCAAGGTTTGTTCCTCTCAAAGGGGTGCTGCAAATAATATGCTCGCGATCTATGCAAACGGTAGTGTGTGGCAGGGGTGTGGATTAGAGTGCCACAAGATGGCTTTTTCCACCAAGGATACCATCCTGAGGTCCCTTTTGGACTAACTTTGCCTTCAGCTCTCCTAAGGTCACCTTGCCGGTATCATCAGTTTTACTTGTAAAAATTTCTAGGAATTCTCTGCAAACAACTATCGCTGTGTGGCCGCTTTGTCGACCAAACGGCTGGACCGTCGCCCCTCCGCTCCCCTCCCCAAGACGACAATTCAGTCGAATCGTCAGGCAATACTTGCATTAAGAGCTCCACCTATTTAGTAAACTCCCTTGAAACACAAAGCAAACAAGAAAAAAAAAATTTGAAGCACTCTGTTTTCTGGAAGGGAATTCAGATACATGAGTCATCCTGAAGTCTTACTCATTTTCCATCTAGGTGAAGCAAATCCAGTACCCTACACTGGTATTCTGTCCAAAGAACGCTGATGGACTGCGCTATGACAAACTCCTCGAAGGTTCGTTTTTCAACATGATTCTGAGATAAGAGGAAGATCAGCAGTTGTCACGATGGCGAAAAGCACGAATGTTGAAGCCAGCTGCCACTTGAAGAAAACTTTGCATGCGAGGTTGTGACTGTATTGTCAAGAACGAAGTCGTTAATCGTCTGGTGACCCGAGGCGAAACGGCAGCCATTACTGCTGTCTAGTCTTTGCATAATGCGTGTTTATGGTTTTTTGCTCCTATTGCCTTGCCTTACCACATACCAAGTACCTATGAGACGAGGGTGAGCGGAGATGGCTAGTCACGCCCGCATCGTGGCTCCAACTAGATTTTTCAATTGTTTAATGTATTTTCATAAGTCTTGAATACTTTTTCCGCACTTTTTCTTGTTGATTATACGCATTTTCTGTCACAGTCTTGTTGAAACTCTACAAATTAAGATTACGTAATCAACGTCGGCTATACGGACAATGCCTGCTCTCGACCGATGCTCAATACGTATTTTATTGCAGGCACTGGGTTTGATAATGTGGACGTAAAGGGTGGACAGACCAATACAAGTAAGTCCACCATTCCTTAATTGTGTCACTGTCACAGTTACTTGAAGAAGGATGAAGCTTCAGCGTCGGCTATTCCTTTTCGAAATGTATCACTCATTTTATCGCAGTGGCAATTAGTTTGTGTTTGTTGGTCATGTCATCCCGCCTATGAAACATTTGGATAGTGCTAATGCCGGCCAGGGAGAGGGGGTGGTCGTCAATCTGGGCTGTGGAAAAAATTTATTTTTGATAGTTGAATTTTTCTCGTTCTCATGGCGTTCGTAAAGAGGATCGTAATCGTAACTTGCGTCATTTTTGGGGTGAGGCGGAGGCGTTTTGGCGTTGCGATGGTTGACTTTTGGTGATTTTCCAGTTTCATGCGTTTTATATGCCCCCTTTGCCCCCTCCCTCCCGCTCGACAGCAAAATTTTTGGTAAAAAAGTAAGGAAGTTTTCGGGTTTTGGAAAAAAAGGCAGGTAGTTGGGAAAAATCTGAAAATTGGTAGGGGGTCGCATTGTCCCGCGACCACATGTGTGCCTCTTTACCCCCCCCCCCCCCCCGCTCGACGGCTCGATTCGATGAGGAAGGACAGAGGGCTGGGGGGGGGGTCGTACCAACTCCCAAAAAAGGGGGGGGGGTCGTACAGAGTCGACTAAAATCCCCAACCAATGATGTGCCCTGCATTTTACTTGCATACTGCGCTAGTTGTGGCTTCTGAATGCGACTTGGCTCATGCGATGAAGTGGAGAGATGGTCGAGCCAGTGTTTTTAGCCCATTCTGGTCTGGTCTGGGGAAAAAAGATGTGGTTGGTATGGAATGGAGTTTTTCCGAGGTTTAACTTGAGATCGTGAGCGTCTATATGCATTAACATTTCACCATATTGAAATATCGTGCAACTAAGAATTAACTGAAAAGAACAAGGAAATAAGCAGCAACTGGAGCAGCTTCACACAACTGAATACAGTGATACTACTGTCTAGCTTGAATTCAGAGTACAACTGCGCAATTTATACGACACCTGGAGAGCAGAAACCGAACTGTTCAGGAAATGTTCGACTTCATATTCAATCAAAATGGTTATCGCTGTGAAGAGGTGAAGGCTTTTGCCATTGCAATCAAACATTGACCTTATGTACACTAGAAATAAACAATAATTAAACAAATGTGTGTTTAGTGGCAACTTTCTAGGCGTAGATGATCGTGACACAAGAATCGGTAGCATGTTAGAAAAGACAGGAGGGGAGGCCCTTTCTGCTTCTTCTTCCTTCTCCCTACCGTTAGTCCCGCGCCGTCGCAGGGTCCGCTGTTATTGTTAGACGTCGCCACTTGTTCCGATCCACTGCATCTTCTGCTGTGGCTTTCAATTCAGTGAGGTCCCTCTTGACCAAGACCCGTCCCTCCATCTCTTCTTTGGGGCTCCTCGTGGTCGCTTGCCCTCTACCTCGAGTTCCAATGCCTTCCTTATTGGGTGGTCTTCAGGCCTCCTCAGTACATGCCCATACCATCGCAGTCGCTGCTCTCGTGCCTTCAGCTGGATCGGAGCCGTCTGTGTGACCGCCCTGACGTCCTCGTTTCTGACTCTGTCGAGTCGTGTCCAGCCGCAGGCCATCTCAGCATGTCCCATTTCCATGAGTGGCAGCTGCCCGTTTCTTGTGTTCTTGGCACATGGGGCCAGCAATTCACTGCCGTATTTAGAGCATTGTAGGCCCTTAGCGCCGCCCCGGTACACTTATGCACTGGAGCGTTCTCGAGCACCCGGATGCCATATAGACTCTCCCATTTCTCCAGGCTGACGTTGAATCGGGCCTCACAGCCCATGAGTCCACGCTGCCAATCAGCTGCTAGGTCGCTCTCAGCGTCAACAAGCTCACGTTCCTTCCGATGCTCTCGCCATGGCGGTCTACGATGGGTTCGGTACACTCTTCGGAGCTCAGGAACTTGGTCTTCTCTTACGTTTCAGCCGGAGTCCATTCTCAGCGAGCACATCCTGCCACCGCTGCACTTGTCCTGGAGTTCTTCCTTGCTGTCCGCTATCAGGGCGATGTCGTCAGCGTAGAGGATATCGCCGCTCCATGAGTTCTTTTAGCCATCCGCCTAGCCCGTGACTCTCAAAGTCAGGAGGAAGAGGAACGGGCTGAGGGCTGATCCTTGGTGTACCCCAACCGTGATTTTTACCTCCTTCGTCAAGCCGTGCGGGGTGCGTACAGCTGCTTTAGCCCTGTGACATGTCTCTCACTATGGAGATCAGGCGCTTCCGCGAACATTCTTCTCTAGCGCTCTCTCAGAGAGCTCTCGCAGCGTCGAATCCTCGAGGTCCAGGAAGTGCAGGCGGAGTTAGCTTGATACGCGGTAGTTGAAGCCACTCCGTCGCGTCCCTTTCTGTTGGAGATGGGAACGAATTGTGCTCAGATTGCCTAAATCGTGGGCGTGTGGCTAGGCCAGAATCCCATTCTCCCTCTTCGTATCTCTGTCTTTGCTGAACTCGTGACCCTTTCTAGACCCCTTCTGTCCCTCCCCACATGGCCATTCAGATCCCTAGCTATGGTGAGGTAGTCATCTTCCGGAACCGATCTTATGGCCTCGTCCAGGGTCAGGGTATAATCGTCCCTTTTCCGGCCGCCGGAGCAAACCGGAATTGTGATGCGCTATGTGCAGCGGTCAACATTGTTCCAGTACCCTAATACTTGTGTCCAGTCCTCACTCCCATGATCCGATCATCGATCCGACCGACTCTTGCACTTTACCCACTTTCCCGTGTCGAGCCATCGAGGGAACCTTACAGGAGTAGACAGGTTTCATCACAGTGGCTCGACGAGCTTACTCCAGCTACACAACAGTTCACAGGTTTCACCAGAGTGAGTCATGAAAAGCGGAACCAGTGAAGCTGCAAAAGTACAAAATGCCCCCCCCGCCGAACAGCTCCCACAAAATTTCGTATGTATTTGTATTTTCGGTATACATTGCAAAAGTGTAGTGATGTCTTTATAGAACTGTTACATGAGTGTGACGAAAATAGCATGGAAGACTGAAACTCCAATTAATAAAAGAGAGGGAAAATTTTTGCAGACAATCTAGCTTGCTCACAACGTGTTTCTAACTACTTCATTGTTTCATATTTTGTTATATATTATAGTGATTTTTTTACGCAATTTTATTACTTCTTATTTTTCGTAAGACAAGAAACTGGTGCTTTGGGCCACTATCAATACAATGTTTGAACATGTAAAGTTTCTGTGGTGGTCCTGTGTTAATAGAAAAGTACTGTTCGAACAATGACTGCGACAATGCAGATTCACTATTTATAGATGTTAATTTCAAACGATGTGGATATGGTGAGATTTGAAAGGATTTGCGAATTTGCCAGCAATGAATACGAACTCCTAGATTCAGTTCTGAAAAAGTCAGGATTGCACCTTCACACTTTCCAGTTTTTCTCATCGTGTTGGGCCGGATCGCAGATTCTGGATTGCTGTAAAGTTTTCACACCGACTTACGTCAATGTTGCGAGGAAGGTGGGTGGTTATGTAAACTCCTTATCCCTAAGTCGGAGTAGGCGTGGCATTTGAACATAGCATAGAATGGGTCACCAGGGGTATTTCAATTTGAGACAACTGTCATCTGTCATGTGTTGACAGAGTCATGATCAGCAACAACAGTAAGTCCTCATCATTGCGGACGGTGGGGCGTGTCAGCCAGTAGTGTGCACACTGTTGAAGCCGTTCTCAGCCTTTTTGTTGAAACGCGTATGCGACAAAAAGTGGTAGAAAACGAGTAATACGAAGGATATAATACAGTAATGTCACTTGCCCGCTTCAACAACTGGTGCAGAACGACTTTGGCACCGCGCCAAACGCAGCCGCACTGACACGCCCCACCGGTCCGCAGTGATGAGGCGGTGTATCTCATCAGAAAATGGCAATTCACGCGCTACCATATCTCAGGATTACGAGTGTACGTTACGAAAATTTCTTTTCTGTACGAACTTTCTTCTGACAACCGTTTGACGAATTTCTGACAGCTCCTTCATTGGAAGATGTGCGTGACCTGCGTACAAACTTCCTCTTCTGACGAGCGTTTACGAATCTGTGATAGTTCTTCATTGGAAGCTGTGCATGAACTAATTGAAAAAGAAAAATGTGGTCAGCCGTGCAAGAGAGTTGATTTCAAAGTGATAAATCAAAAATCAGGAAAGGACAAATCCCATGAGAAAATCGGAGTAAAGAAACCAAATCCATCTCCAATGATTCCGAGTGGAAGTGGGGTATACATGGCCTATATACAGAACGGTACTGATGGACCTGTGGTGTTCATCCTTTTTTTTCAAAATTAGGGAAGAAAGCGAAAGAGCTTCGTACCATCCAATTTCATCATTCTTCAAAGACTCACTCTAGAAGGTACAAAGAATTAATATCCCCGAGCCATTGTTCTAATCTTTCCTCTATCCAGATGGGCAAAAGTGATAGAGCCCGAGTCACAGTTGGCCGTGGACTGTAGGCACAGTGTTGCAGTCAGTTCCAGTGCAGGCCATCGCTCCGGCAAACCAAGTGTTCCACCCTCCCAGCGTCGTTCACTTGGCACAGCTTTTTCGGAAGATGAAGAGACTACGTTGTGCATGGGATGGCTCCCTCCTAAATCGCTGATTGCGTTAGAACACCACTACGGTCCCAGAAAGAACTAGATGGCGCATCTTGAGAAGATAAAAATACTATCACTATCATGTATCGTTTAAGTGACCCATTGATGCTATTTCCAGATGCTTTCGGCTCATAGACAATTACAATCAGACAGATGTTGACGAGAACGACAAACTTTCCATACAACTCAATAATGTGCAGAAAGGAACCCTCTTTGGAAGAAAGAATAGGGTAAGTGAAAGCATTTAGGGGGTAAGGTATAATAGCGCAATGAGTCCGTCGGCAGGACACCAGCCAGCAACTCTAGCATATCCAGAATTTTTCGAGCTGTATGCATAATATGAAACCAAGCACTTCTTCTCGTTCGTTGATGTTGACATTCACTTCCTTGTTTTTTTCTTATATTGATCTCAGGTTAAAGGCGTTCATCATTTGCAGCAGCCTCTCGAGCATCTGTCAACGCTTTGGCCTGTCAGACTGCGTTCATTTTGCAGCAGCGTCTAGCAGCGTCCACTAGCGTCCGCGCGCAATCGTCATCGTCTCAAGGGACCAGGAATACTCCGATCTGTAGGTGCTTTTGCACGCATTAGATTCACGGCGCTAATCCAGCTGTCTCCTCCCTCTTACTTCTACTACTCGACTAGCAGTTTCCTGCCCCCCCCCCCGCCTCCCTCTCTCCCCCTAATTCCTCTTACTCTCTACTCTGTCGCGTGGCACGCTGATAGCGCTTGGGTAGACGCTCCGCCAAAGCATGGGAACGCCCAGCTCTAGGTTTTTGAGACAATTTTGAAAGCGAAAGTATAGTTATCGATCCAGCGTCTTGAGCGCCCACCAGCAATTTGAGCGTTTTGAGCATTCGCCAGTATTTTGAGAGTTCTGAGAGATCACCAGTGTACCGCTGACGGACGCTCAAAACGTCAGTGGGCATCAAATCGCGAAATCGAGTCCTATACTTCTCTAGTCAATGTAAATTCTGCCGCATGCTCAGAACACTGACGCTCGAAACCCTGGGTTGATGCCTATACTTCACTGGTTCGCTCAAAACGCTACCGTACCCTTACCGAGCGAGTGGGCTAGCCATTACACACCGCTGAGGCTCACTATCTGTTTACAAGGGAATCACGAAATTTCGGCCCGCCCATCTGCAGTGAGGTCTACATCTTTGTATCTTGAGACGGGTGAACTGAAGTCTGAATAGAAAACGTAGTAGAACAAGTTTGAAATGTTCAGAAAGTTCGAAGACTGATTCAGCTATCGTAACTAATTGTTTAGATCCAAGTGGTCATGTATGTGGGTGATTCACATCCAGAAGTGGGCATCTATCCAAGATTTTATTTGAATTATCATGATTGGAATCGCATACGCTTTGTCCAGAGGCGATTGTCGATGCTGCCCAGCAACCCACGGTGCTCATTAGATCCTCGAAATCAGGGTGCGTTTCATCATGCACCGTCGTTCAATGACTGAAATCGAGCAATCTCAGGAAAGTCGACCTGTTTTGTTTACAACTGGCTGATGCGAGTAGTGGTGCAACCACTGAATTGCACGGTACCGTACTTCAAAGGAGTGTTACCGTATGTGGACGATGTACCGACATGTGAGCCGTATGTCATTGTTAATGACTACGCTCGAATCACTTCGACGATGTTAGAAAACTATCACGTGGGTAGTTTCGAGTTATTTTCTCAGGGGCAGTTAGGCTCTACACCCTACCTTGCATTTCAGTGCTCTCCTGCCTGCAATCGTGTTGAGAATCAGATGCGGATGACTACTAGTCCTGACTACAGTCGGAATCCAAATTATTCTTTCCGTGTAGAAGCATCATTCAACGAGTTGCAGGTAAGTATCGCTTGAATCTCCCACTCCGAGACTATTATTCATTAAATTGGGACTCAAAGCCATGTCCTTGGAAGTCATGATCGTGTGGGCGGGCCAAGGTCTACCATTACACCTCTCCCATTAATGCTTCCCTCATTTACGATATGGCGAGGCAGAGGTGGGTGTTACAGAAGAAAAAACAACGACAAGTTCAAACCTGCCCATATGCTGCTGATTCGAGGCTGTTTGGGACAGGAATTCATGTTTGCTGAAGCATGCTAGGATCTGAAGCATCGACAAACATATTGTGACAGTACCCATAACTCTCTGGAAAGTGTCAGTTGGGAGATTGCGGGGTCGCGGCGTCGAGCGATCCGCACGTATAGGAGCCACAGTTTGCTCATTCAGCTAACTAGGAAATACTAACAAATTTGATGGTGTTGCGCGACGTGGGCCTCGCGCTGTCGGGCGTACCAAATATTACGAAAGTCAAGCCCCACTTGCAATCTGCAAGCCGTTCATGGAGGACATAAAAACTATTTAGGGGCGGTTCCAAATGAGAAATGTCCATGTCGTATGTCCATGTGTAAGTAAAAAGAACTTCAAGGGCGCTTTTCGTCGCCGCTGCAATGGTCTGCAACTTTTAGAGCTTCAAGGGGAGGAGGGGGAGCTCCTGGGTGTGTGAAGCTGTTAAAACAAAGAGAGCACGTAGTAGTCGCTCACCTCGGAGCTTCCTCCTCAAAATTGCTGAATATGATACCCGTCACTATCCGCTGACGCAGAATCGCAGATTTTTTCCTCTCAAGGCACACATCGTATAAAATGAATCTATAATTTCCAGTATGAGAGCTACTCAGAAATTCGTCTGACAACTGCTGCTGGTTTCGTATCCGAACTGGGTGGCCAAAGTGGCCTCTTTGTGGGATGTTCGGTGATGAGCTTCGTGCAACTAGTCCTTTCCTTTCTTAGCCTTTTCGTTATATGTGCTCGTAAGGTCTATGTACGATATTATTACCCAGCGCTCAGTATTAATTCAAAGGTAACAAACAGTACCGTGAGCAACATTTCTGATCAGAAGTAATAGCCTTTGTGAAGTGATACAAATAAAGATCTGGTTGAACTGCCTGTGTGTATCTGCGGTCCTCGAAAAGACTCACCGATATATCCAAATGGGTGGAGAAGTTGGCAAGGAGCTCCCAGCATTACTGAGTACTTCCTTCTGGTGCACCTCACGATATCTGGTAAGGTAGATATAAGGGCTGCACAAAAGACGAAGAACACACAATGGTTGTGAGCCTCTGCCCACTTGCCCGCCATATCAACTATGGCAAAATGGGAAACCTAAATTATACAACAAAACAGATAGCAAACAGGCACGTTAAAGGCTACATATAGACAACAAGGCAAGGAGCTGAGCAATTCGATAGTGAAGAAAAAACAGAAAAAGCATGTCAACTGTCCTAGATAGGACCCCATTTCAATCCCATTTTGTACGTTCCCAATTACCTCCATCTCCAACACACGCCCTCATCCGCACAGCTGAACGATAAGAACTCTACGACCGTACAAGTGACGATTTTCATGCTTTTTCGTCCTGCAGCTTCGTTTTTCACTGAAAGGCGGGCCTTGAGGCGGAGTCTGGAGGCGGAGTCACTGGAAAAAAGGAGGCGTCACTGAACCTATATTGCGCTATAGCGCCCCTCCTTACAATTTTTTTGCTGCGAACCAGGTACAGCTTGCGCCGCGGACCTCACTACTCTCCCGACTCCACATTTTCAACTTCTAAATCTGATCGCGGACCGTGCTTAACTAGTTTCAAAAGGCGCGACGCGATCGCGCCTGCCTTCGTCACAGCCGCCTTCACAATGAAATCGACATCTGTCTTCGTACAAGCGACATCTCTAGTTGTATGATATTAGGGGTAAAACCCGCGATTATTCGCCATCAGATAGTGGATTAGGGGTTCGCATACAGACGACAAGGTGCTGAGTAACTCGATAGTGAAGAAAAAAGCAGAAAAACATGCCACTTGCCCTAAATAGAACCCCATTCCGACCCCAGTTTGTACGTGTCCATGAACGCCCAAAAAGACTGCGCCCAAAAGGAGACGTCACTAAACCTACATCGCGCTATAGCGCCCCTCATTAGGCTGCGTTTATACTTTGCGGCAGCGTAGCGTAGCGCTTCCAGCGTACGCCAGCGGCAGTGCCGAAGAGAGGATGCATATCGATCTAGCTTCACCAGCGTTACGCCAGCGTTTCTCCAGCGTTTCACCAGCGTTTTGCTAGCGTTTGCAGCGGCAGGGGAGTAGAGACTATGGGAGAGCTGGAGGGTACAAAACACATCGATTGCGCGTCTCTCACTCGCCCTTAGTCTCTACAATGCACATCGCTTCTGCGTCTCCGACGGCCACATGGTCTCTACAATACACGTCGATTCCGCGTCTCTCACGGCCACATAGTCTCTACTCCCTGCCGCTGCAAGCGCTAGCAAAACGCTGGTGCCGCTGGAGAAACGCTCGAGAAACGCTGGTGAAGCTAGATCGATAGCTATGCTTCCCGTGCCCTCGCTACGCCAGCGTGCGCTGGTGACGCTGGTGAAGCTAGATCGATATGCATCCTCTCTTCGGCACTGCCGCTGGCGTACGCTGGAAGCGCTACGCTACGCTGCCGCAAAGTATAAACGCAGCCTTACAATTTTTCGTTGCGAAACCGGTACAAGATTGTAGGGAGGGTAGACGGTCGCCGCGGACTCTTCTACTCTCCCGACGCCATAATTCCAACTTCTATACCTGATCGCGTACCGAGCCTTTAAGGACAAACACCACTACAATACACTCACCTCTAAGGTTGGTTCTTACCATGTACATGAACAAATTGACAGCTCTACAAATGTAGCCCTTTCTCTATCAAAAGCGCGCGGGAATGAGGGTGGGGGTACTGATCTCACCATCTCACACGTCCAAGAACCAGGATCCATAGAGGGACATATGCTTTCACATTGGATTAAGAAAACGAGAGTTCGACGAAGGGACAGGAGGGGGCATCTTGCACTTCTGCTACTTCTCGTTTCGATTCATCTAGGGAGCCATTTCGGGCTTACAAGAGTTGAAAGGTTTTACCATGTTGACTCGACGAGGACATGGTCCAGCTTCTCAAGAGTATACAGGTTTCGCCAGCGTGGGACTTGTGAACCGGAACTAGCGAAGCAGCGAAAGTACAGTGTCCTCTCCCGAGCTGCGCCCGAATAAGTTACCTCACAGTAAACAATGGCGGAGTTGTGTGTTTTGCAGTGAACTTGACAACATCAATGAACTTTATTGCTTTAAGCTTAACGGCACAGCAATATCCCTACGATAAGCTGTTTTGAGTTGTTTGTAGATGAACATGGAGATGCCGAGCAGTAGCTGAACAAACGTCATTATCGAGCAACCAACGAACAAGCCGCTCTGTCCACCCAACTCGGAAATGAAACGTGGAACGGTCGTCAGGCGAATTTCTGCGTAGTATTCGTACTGAAATTGAAGGATATTAGGATCAGGGTTGATAGGGCCGTATGGGTCCCTAGAAAGACTTCAAAGCGAATCCGGGTGGAGGTAGCGCTAGATAATTGTTTGGAAGCTGTACTTGCACAGATAAACTCATGGTCGATCTATAAAAAGGAACTAAACCGAGCAGCCGTAATGAACCATGCACCCGTGGGCGCAAGCAACGACTACAAGTTCCACTGGCATTAAGGAGGGAGAAGCCATGGACGTGAAGCAGTGACTTCGTGATTTGCTAACAGATCCTCGTAACAAACCTGGAGTTCATTAAATGATGCCTCTAAACGAAAACCATAGTCAGGAGATGGATTGGCGTCGATAGTGTTCATCATTTGCCAGCGATTCTCTATTCGCTCGCAGGCAGGAAGACACTAAAACAGAGGCTTTTTTTGTAAAATTGATGAGAATTCATTATTATAGTTAATCTTGGTGTTATACTACAATACACGGGGGGCAAAAAAGTCTTTTTTCTCCATTGACTTTCGAGGCGCTATAAGTTACACTTTATTAAATTCTGATCGGACATTTTTACCACCATATTAAAGAGCATATTAAATACTATCATGACACTCCGCCACAGCCTTCTGGACGAGCGCCATCGAGAGATTCTGGCACGCGACCGCGATGCGTGTGGTCCTGACCATCGAGATCA